ACACAGAACTCTCACAAACCTCCAAAGTCTCAAACTTGAGCAAACCTTCTCTCTTTCAAACCCTAACAATTGCAGCCACTCAATCCAACACTGATCAAGTTCTTTCTCAATCTCTGATGAAAATCCAAAGCACAAATTATCAAGTTGATCCAAAAGTATCTTCTTATCCTGAAGACTTGAAGATGCTTATCGTTGCTCTGAAACGATCACCTCTATCCACTGCCATGTTTAGCTCCTTCTCTGTTCCGATGACATGGTTATTATTGGCAGTTTCAACGGCATCACACAATAATACAACTGATGTGATAACATTCAACTTGATCAACAACAAACGGGTAAAACTTTCTAAGAAGATGTTTGTTGAATTCTTCCAGATTCCAAACAATCCTCCATTTTTCAAACCTGTTAACTCTCAAGTCATTCACATGCTCAATGAGATGTGTCATCAACCACAACTTGAGAATATCAGTGACTTTCGAAAGTCTGGGTTGCCGTGCATGTGGAATTTCTTATTTGGTATTTTTCTCAGATACCTAACAGGAAGAACAGTTGGACTGGATAGAGGACGAATTGAAGTATATGCCATGGTTGTGGGTCTATAGTATGACATCAATGTTGATTATGCAACCCAATTATGGAAGGAATTTGTTCAGAGTCTCAAAAACACAAATTCTGAAAAAGGGATTTCGTGTGCAAGATATTGGAGCTTAATTATGGAGAAAGTCTATGAAAAAGAAGGGATTCGAGTACCGGAGGATGTTGAAGTTGCTAAATTTTCTTTATATCAATTTCCAAAGGTTGTAGAAGATGATGCTGCTATTTTTACTCACGTGGCTCGCATTCCAGATGCGATGCTTCGCAAAGTATCTCAAACTCACAAGGTCTTGGTGAGATATTTGCGAACAGTTGATCAATCTGTGCAGACTGTAGTATTATTAGAAGTTGCTACTCCATCAAAGAAGAAGAAGTCCATAAAGAAGAATGCGAAAGGTTCATCTTCACAACAAGCTCAAAATGAAGATGTTCAGATTGAAGAAACCTCATCTAAATCAAAGCAAGAAATAATAACTTCCAAGTATGGGGTATTGAAGAAAATTCGCAAGGCTGAGGTGAGCAGTAAAGGAGTTACTATTCGCAGTATTCCAGCTCCAGTTTCACCAGGAATGAAAAGGCAAAGAGATGAACATGTTGCGAAAAACATGCAACATACTCTCACAAAAAGAAGGAAATTGGTGATTCGAAATGTATCATCTGATGAAGAAATAGTCCCAGAAACTCCACCAGTGCCGTCTATGGTAAATGTTTCCTTACCTATTATCCCAACTTCGTAAATTTCTACCACAATACCACTCACCGAATCACTCGAAATAGTCACTACCAAATCAATTTCTGAGGAGGTACCTATTTCTGATATGGTTGTCAACGTATCTGATACGGGGGCACCTATCTTGAGTGTTGAAACCACAATTCCAATCACCTTACCTATTTCCTTACCAATTGTTTCAATTCCATCCACAATTCTATCCACTACCTCATCAATTTTTGATCATCCTCTTCAAAATCCATTTACAACACTTTTTCCATCACAATCACCAGAAAATTCTCAACCTTCGCAACCTTTATCTGATAATGAAGCTGAAGGAGTAGCCTTTGGAGGGGTCTTTGAAGATATTCATTTTGATTCAGAGGAAGAGGATATTCCTGATCATATTCTTATGATAGGAAAACAATTTAAAATCCTGAATCAGAAGTTGAATGCTATTATTCAGTCGCAAGCTGATTCTGGCAGGACGTCTTCTATCTCAGCCATGGAAGTTGATGTAATGATTAAGGGTGCTGAGAAACGTATAATGGAAAAAGTTGATCAATCTGATAAGAACAATGAGCTTCGCATTTACGCTGAAGGGAATAGCTTTTCTTCAATGGTTCAGGATTTGAAAACAGTTACAAAAGAACGTCATGTTCTTTTTGTACAAGATGTGAAGAAAGTTAGGGAGGATGTCAACTATAAAATTCAAGAGTTGAAAACTGAACTGGCGAAGGAGCTCCAGGATATTCATACTCAAAATGTTGATGTTCAAAAGCAGATTGAGGAGCTTAAAACAAACAAACCAACAACGGAGAGGTTTGATTAGTTGATCCAGTTGGTGACAGAGCTTAAAACGGTGGTTTCGCAATCTTCATCCACACATATTCTTACTCCTGAGTTCTTGTCTCTAAAGATTAATACTTTAGAACAAGCAATTCACGAAGCTATTGCTCCACTTGCCAACTTCACCTCTTTACTTCCAAGGGGTGCCCCACCTGCTTTCACAGGGGTGCAAGGGGGAGAGAAAAGCTCAAGTAAAGAGGAGGATGCAAAGATAGTGGGAAAAGTTATATCTACCCAGCTGAAAACTACTCTTCCCGTGTTTACGAAGCCAATTTTCTCAACTACAATAACCACAAGACCTATTGCCAAAGGAATTGTTATTGGAGAAAAAGCAGGAGGTTCAAGTTCAAAATATCAAATAGATATGGAGGGAAAAGGAAAGGGAATATTATACGAAAAATCAAAGAAAGAGAAGAAAGTTGCGGCTGAAGCAGAGATGGAAAGAATGAGGCAGATTCAAAGTATCATGACACAACGGGCAAGTGATCCTCCCACAACGAACAAAGGAGATCTAGCGAAACTTTACTCTTACGAAACTATAGAGTCAAAGGTTGTGGGGAGGGAAATGTATGAATTTGAGAAGAAGGCAAATAAAAGTTATGATATTGCGAATTCAGACAATTGCCAGCTAGATTTTCCAATCAATGAAATGCTCTTCATCAATGCTCAGTACAAAATTAGTGAGAAGTTTGATAAGCCTAATGATTTTACAAACATGAAAATCAGATTTCATGCTGTTTTAGGGAAGAATCCAAATGAAGTTTGGTCATTATTGAAGATCAAAAAGGTGCTAACAATCAAGAAAGATGTATTGTTTCAAGACATGCTTCAAAATTTTTGTTATTTTGTTATCAGAACAGACAACAAGCAGTATGACTTCACTATAGCAGATTTTCCTCTGATGAACTGCAACGATTTGATTCAAGTGGCTCTGATTTTGAAACGTATGGAAGAGAATAAGCTCAAAGGCTCTGAGACTGAAGTATTCAAGATAGGCTTCGCACATGTTAAGACATTCATCGACAATTATTTCGATTGTTTGGCTCTTACAGATGATGAATTGGCGAATGTTTTGGGAAGAGAAGTGAAAGTTCCTTGGGAAGATACTTTATCCCAGTCAGCATTGTCGAAATATGCTGTTGGTGAAATATGTCTCAAACCTTTTGGTATGGTGTTTTCAAGGAGAGATACAAAAGGGAATCCTAAGAAATTTTTGTTTAAAGTCTCAGAGATAGAAAGATATAATTCTTCGCAATATACGCACTTTATTGTTCGTATGAACAATTGCAAGAAGAACAATGAAGGAGACAAGAAGGATCTTATGAAGGTGATCTCCTGGTATGGAGAAGTGCAAAAGACAATTCACTCAGTTGTTCAAAAGCTTATAAACTGAATAGCTTTGACTGTTTACAAAGGGGGAGATTGTAGATGTAAAATTGTAAAAGTCGAATATAGTGTTTTGTATTGTTTCGCATTTTATGTTATTTTACTAAGTCATATTTCTGCGAAGTATAATGTTTAGACTTAGTATATTTTTTGTACACTCATGTTCCCTATAAATAGGGACTGAGGTTAGAAGTAGAAGATAACTTTTGTAAACTCAAATATCCTTCTGCTTATTTTTGTAATCAGTCTTCATCAATATGAGATCTGATTAATATTTACTCTTCATGTTCTAACTTTTAGATTACTCAAATCATACTTTGTTTACTTAAATCTCGATAACAATTCACTTCAATCTCTTTCAAACCCTAACAATGGCAGCCACTCAATCCAACACTGATGAAGTTCTTTCTCAATCCCTGATGAAAATCCAAAGCACAAATTATCAAGTTGATCCAAATGTATCTTCTTATCCTGAAGGCTTGAAGATGCTTATTGTTGCCCTGAAACGATCACCTCTGTCCACTACCATGTTTAGTTCCTTCTCCGTTCCGATGACATGGTTATCCACTACTAGAAAATAGACCTTTAATGACGCGCTTTTTACGACACGCGCTGATTAACGATACGCAATAAGACGTGCCCTTAAAATAATGTTATCTCTCCAAAAAATTTAAGGATTTACGTCACGCATTATTGCGTGCCCTTAATTTAGTGTCTCAAGAAAAAAAAATTAGAAACACGGAGGGCACTTTATCTTAAACGCGCGTCGTCTCTACCTATCGCTTTATATTTTAATGAAACGCGCTTTTAGTAGACAAGGGGGGAAACGAAATCCCCAAAATTTTGAAAACCCGCCTCGTTTTTTCTATCTTCTATCTATCTTTCATCCTTGCAATCCACTCTCCCCTCTCTGATAATCTTTCCTCTAGATCTCCCTTCATTCTCTACCTCCAGTCTCTCTGTAAACCCTAAGCCATCGCCACCTCCCTTCTCTCTAGCACGTGCTACGGTTTTATTTTCTTTCAAGCTTCCACTTCTCTCGTTTTCTCTAAACCTAGTACGTGCGAGGGTTCGAATAACTGAGCGAATGCAAACAATCAATTTTCCATTTCAACTTCTTTGAACTCTAGATCATCGGGTATATTTTCAGATTCCTTTTCCGGTTTTGTTCACTTTTGAAATTGGAATGGGACCCGTTCTTTTCTACTTCAATACTCTTGATCTCAACCGGCTTTTCTTCTTCCACTTTGTCTTCTTCTACTTCTTCTAACAATGGAGGTTCCTGCTAAGGGGTAACCTCGGCAATATGCAATTGAAAAACCCCAAATAAGTCGAATTTTTAGGTATACGGTTCTTTATCTGGAAGCACAAGGCCATCTACAATCGATTAAGCTAATCTGAGCTCACAGGTACATGTGAGCTTTATATCTTCCCCCCTTATCTTTCAACCGCATTAACGATCATGGCAATTCCCACCACACTATCGACACTACCTTCTCCTTCTTCATGTCTCTCTTCAAAATCACTTCAACCCATTCATCTTACTTTCCCTAAAACCACAATTTCACTTTCAAAATCCAATTTTACCCCCTTTTCAATTCATCGTTCAAATCCAATCAATCTCGCCTCATCAAGAAAACCCATCAGCTTCATCTGCAGTAGTTCATCCATTGTGTCGACAAGCACTACCAATTACGAGGTAACTACCAACAATATACGAATTTGAAGTGTTCATATTCATTTTTGTAAATCCCCATTTGGGTAAGCATGGTTTTCTCAGTTATTAGGGTTTAGTTTTATGCAGATTTTCCTTTCCCAGTAATCTGAAACCATGTTTGCTTCTTCAATGGCTGTTAAAATTTTCTAAAATAAAAGTTTACACACCAAAATTTGGTGGAAAAAACTTGGATTCCACAAGTATGAAACCATATCTGCTTCTTCAATGGTCACTTTCTAATACATTTGACAGTTTTCAGATGACTCACAAGAGGTAGAGCTGAGATTATTTCTTGGAGATGAAAGCATTCAGAGCTCGAAGGATGTCATTGTTGACACCCCTGAACACAGAAGAGCTACTCGAAACTTTTACTAAGCAAACAGTTGATTCATGTGAGTGATTTCACCAATCTTTATGAACAAAATGAGACTTTTTTATGTTAATTTAACAAGTAATAATTAATAAATTCTAGTGGTGATTGCAGAAGTTGGGAGTAAAGTAGCTACAGTTGAACAAATTCAAGAGACCCCTCTTGTGATCAAATCGACTTCTTGTGAGATTCCCTTTATACCCTTTAACTTAAAATTCTCAATGTCACTATACTTCCTAAATAGCTAGATCACTAAATGACATATAAATCCTTAATCAGGTTTAGATGTTATAGTGGCATGCATAGATTACAGAAACTTTCCCATTCCAGCAAACTGCAGGTGTTAGTCTTTTGTTATTTTTTCAATTTAGTTTTTTTTAAAAAAAAAATAATATATAAGTGTGTTGATGTTAACTTACAGTTAAGAGGTGTCTTCTCCTTTACTAGAGAACAAAACCACAATGACACCATTATCAATATCTTCGGTTCGATAAAATCCATAACTGAGTAAAACAAAAAATGGGAGGCTGCTGTTGTTGCTTTTCTAAAGGAGTAGAACTCAACACTTCACCCCGATTTTCCTTTCCCAGTAATCTGAAACCATGTTTGCTTCTTCAATGGCTGTTAAATTTTTCTAAAATAAAAGTTTACGCACCAAAATTTGGAGGAAAAAACTTGGATTCCACAAGTATGAAACCATATCTGCTTCTTCAATGGTCACTTTCTAATACATTTGACAGTTTTCAGATGATTCACAAGAGGTAGAGCTGAGATTATTTCTTGGAGATGAAAGCATTTAGAGCTCGAAGGATGTCATTGTTGACACCCCTGAACACAGAAGAGCTACTGGAAACTTTTACTAAGCAAACAGTTGATTCATGTGAGTGATTTCACCAATCTTTATGAACAAAATGAGACTTTTTTGTGTTAATTTAACAAGTAATAATTAATAAATTCTAGTGTTGTGGCTTCTGAACTTCTTTCTCAGGTATGCTTATTGTAGTTTGACTTTCATTGACAATCTTGAAAGACAATAATTTATGTAACTATAAATCTACAATTACAGTTGCAAGATTAGAATAATAGAAGGCAGTTTGCACACCCTAGTTACTTCCATGCTGATGGTGTCAATGATCACTTCATTTCTCAGGTAATAATTATTTACTTAATTCACATATTTTTTATAAGTTTGATTTTGTGATGATTAAAAAGAATCCATCTATTTACTTAATTCACAGGCGTTGATTGAAAACACAAGGGCATATGACATACTGAAACAAGATCCTTTCTTGGTGCCATTTACAAGTAGAGTTAAATTATTCACAGTGAGTTTATAACTTATAAATTATAATCTATTCATAGTCATACTATTTTTTTTTTACTAATTACATTTTTATCAAACTATATAGTCACAACTTGCTGCAATTAAGGAAAGGCCAGGGTCTCATTCTCTTTTAAACAGAAGCACTTTTAAAAGGCACTTTCTTCGGTTAGCAATTTCCCATGATTTTCTTTCAGAACATTGAGCGCCTAAAGAAGTATACTTTGATATATGTGGTGGTCCAGCAACCTTTATTCAGGTGCTTCTTTTATATTTCTTTTTAGATTGAATGCTTTGTGTAATTTCCACATGGTGCACCTTAAGTTGTCCCCTAACTTCCATTTTCATAAGTTTTCTAGGTTTAAAAAAGATTAAGAAAAGAGGAAGTCATGGATCCTAAAAATAGCCCACTCAGTAAAAACAAACCCACTTAGTAGGAAAATGTCCTAGCTTTGGTGAGTTTTTTTTGTCCCAGCTTCTGGGTACATGGAATTTTTTATTTTTAGAAATTAATTAATCAGAATGACTCAGTCGATATTACCTGCTTCATGATCAGGTGCCTCTCTTGATCTTGTCTATTTGTTCTATCAATCAATCTCAGGCTATCAATCTTTTGGGTATGATGCAATTAGTCAACTTTGTTCATGTTTGGGATCTATGTGTCTATGTGTAAAATGTCTGAGTGCTTTTATGTAGTTGGCTGAAATGAGACTTTTTAGTTTTTCAATCCACAAATCTGTCTGATGCAATGAACTACACTGACAAGCAACTGACAACAGCTGTTGTGTCTAAAGGGTTAAGACCTGGTCTTGCAGGGACTGAATCAGGTGCACCACCAAGATTACTATCTCTGGTACAAAGATGTTAGGATGCTGACATTCACAATAGGCCTTTATTTGATGATATCATCTCCAAACTTGATCTCAACATGGTTTTGCCCTGTTACCTATAAAAGGCCTCTAAAATATTCTCCTATTCTTATGTATTTGCCTGGTAATTTGTGTTTGGTTATAAAATTACACAAATTACCATTTTACCCCTGCAAAATATGCTTATATTTACTTCCTAGTTGGATGTGATACTTTGTGTAGGGTTGGAAGGAACTGGAACTGGCCTTGTTGTACATGAGAAAGCTCTTGGAAAGTGAGTTGAATTTAGCTAAGTCATTATTGAGTGAGATAGGCCAATGTACAACTGCTTATCCATATAATCAGCTGTTTGGAGCATTAGTCTTAAAGAATTATGAAAGGCAAGATGCAACTTTACTTAGTTGGAATTTGATGTACATAGTAGATTAGATGCAAATTTATATATTGTAAGAAATAGAATTGTATGACATTAAATTTATGCAATGGATTCTATTTTTTGTATATGATATTTTATTATCTATTATGAAACATTAAATATAAATTTAATTTTAAAATAAGTAAATCTATAAATAATATTTTTTTTTAAACATTTAAAATTACGATACGCAAAAATGTATGTCGTCTTCATTTATGACATGGCCTTTCTTGACAGGGGCTTTCTTGATACGCATTGCGTGTCATTAACACGCGCGTCGTAAGTTTACGACACGTGAATGCGTGTCGTCTTCCTTTATGACAGGGCCTTCCTTGATACGCATTGCGTGTCATAACCGCGCGTCGTAAATGCGCGTCGTCTATAGATGACGCGCAAAAGCGCGTCGTCTATAGATGACGCGCAAAAGCGCGTCATCTCTCTTTATGACAGGGCCTTCCTTGACACGCATTTGCGCGTCGTCTGAGCGTTTTACGACGCGCAATGAGCGTCGTAAAAGGCCTTTTTTCTAGTAGTGATCTTTGGCAGCTTCAACAGTATCATACAATCATACATCTGATGTGATAACATTCAACTTGATCAACAACAAACGGGTCAAACTTTCCAAGAAGATGTTTGTTGAATTCTTGCAGATTCCAAACAACCCTCCATTTTTCAAAACTGTTAACCCTCAAATCATTCACATGTTCAATGAGATGGGTCATCAACCAGAGCTTGAGAAGATCAGTGACTTTCGAAAGTCTGGGTTGCCGTGCATATGGAATTTCTTATTTGGAATTTTTCTCAGATGCCTAATAGGAAGATCAGTTGGACTGGATAGAGCATGAATGGAAGTATATGCCATGGTTATGGGCATATACTATGACATAAACGTCGATTATGCAACCTAGTTATGGAAGGAATTTGTTAAGAGTCTCGAAAACACAAATTCTGAAAAAGGGATTTCGTGTGCAAGGTATTAGAGCTTAATTCTGGAGAAGGTTTATGAAAAAGAAGGGATTCCAGTAACGGAGGATGTTGAAGTTGCTGAATTTTCTTTGTATCAGTTTCCAAAGGTAGTAGAAGATGATGAGGCTATTTTTACTCATGTGGCTCGCATTCCAGATGCGATGCTTCGCAAGGTATCTCAAACTCACAAGGTCTTGGTGAGATATTTGTGAACAATTCATCAATCAGTGCAGAATAGGGTATTACTAGATGTTGTTGCTCCGTCAAAGAAGAAGAAGTCCACAAAGAAGGATGCAAAAGGTTCATCTTCACAACAAGCTCAAAATGAAGATGTTCAGATTGAAGAAATTTCATCTAAATCAAAGAAAGAAATAATACCTTCCAAGTCTGGGGTATTGAAGAAAATTCACAAGGCTGAGGTGAGCAGTAAAGGGGTTACTATTTGCAGTATTCCAGCTCCGGTTTCTCCAGGAAAGAAAAGGCAAAGAGCTGAAGATGTTGCGAAAAACATGCAACATACTCTCATAAAAAGATGGAAAATCGGTGATTCGAAACGAATCATCTGATGAAGAAATAGTTCCAGAAACTCCACCAGTGACGTCTAAGGTAAATGTTTCATTACCCATTATCCCTACTTCGCAAATCTCTACCACAATACCACTCACCGAACCATTCGAAATAGTCACTACCAAATCAGTTTCTGAGGAGGTACCTATTTCTGATACGGTTGTCAACGTATCTGATACGGGAGCACCTATCTTGAGTGTTGAAACCACATTCCCAATCACCTTACCCATTTCTTTACCAATTGTTTCAATTCCATCTACAACTCTATCCACCACCTCATCAATTTTTGATCATCCTCTTCAAAACCCATTTACAACACTTTTTCCATCACAATCACCAGAAAATCCTCAACCTTCGCAACCTTTATCTGATAATGAAGCTAAAGGAGGAGCCTTTGGAGGGGTAATTGAAGACATTTATTTTGATTGAGAGGAGGAGGATATTCCTGATCATATGCTTATGACAGGAAAACAATTTAAAATCCCGAATCATAAGTTGAACGCTATTATTCAGTTGCAAGCTGATTCTGGCAGGATGTCTTCTATCTCAGCAATGGAGGTTGATGTAATGATCAAGGGTGCTGAGAAGCGTATAATGGAGAAGGTTGATCAATCTGATATGAATAATGAGCTTCGCATTCAAGCTCAAGGGAGTATTTTTTCATCAGTGGTCCAGGATTTGAAAACAGTTGCAAAAGAACGCCATGTTCTTTTTGTACAGGATGTGAAGAAAGTTCGGGAGGATGTCAACTATAAGCTTCAAGAGTTGAAAACTGAACTTGCGAAGGAGCTCCAGGATATTCATACTCAAAATGTAAAAGTTCAAAAGCAGATTGAGGAGGTTTTTTCAAAGGTGCAAAAGTTTGTT